AGGCTTTGTTCATTTCTTTTTACTCTTTTTTCTCTACACTTCTCTTCTCACTTCATTTCATTCGTTTGATCTTCAATCGCTGATACTCTTTCTTCCAGTTGATCAAGTTGGTTGTGTCATGCGTGTCCATGTGAAGAGACCACCAAAGAGGCTTTCTGTGAGCAACATGTTTATTTCACCTGGGTGCAGGTGGGCTGAGTCCGAAAAGAGAGTCAGTGTAGGGAGATAAGGGTGGGGCCGTTTTATAGGATTTGGGTAGGTAAAGGAAAATTCCAGTCAAAGTGGGGTTGTTCTCTGGCGCACAGGAGTAGGAGTCACAAGGTGCTCAGTGGGGGAGCTTTTTGAGCCAGGATGAGCCAGGAAAAGGACTTTCACAAGGTAATGTCATCACTTAAGGCAAGGACCGGCCATTTTCACTTCTTTTTTGGTGGAATGTCATCAGTTAAGGCGGGGCAGGGCATTTTCACTTCTTTTGTGATTCTTCAGTTACTTCAGGCCATCTGGGGGTATATGTGCAAGTCACAGGGGATGTGATGGCTTGGCTTGGGCTCAGAGGCCTGACAGGTTACTGAAGCTTGTGCATTTGTCACGTAGTTCTCTTGTTATGGTTTTCATCTCTATCAGTTCTTTTAAGGTCTTCTCTGCATTGATTATTCTAGTTATCCATGCATCCATTCTTCTTTCAAGTTTTTAGTTTCTTTGCGCTGGTTACATAGTTCCTCCTTTAGCTCTGAGAAGTTTGATCGACCGAAGTCGCCTTCTTTCAACTCGTCAAGGTCATTCTCCATCCAACTTTGTTCTGTTGCTGGCGATGAGCTGCGTTCCTTTGAAGGGGGAGATGCGCTCTGATCTTTTGAATTTTCAGCTTTTCTGCACTGCTTTTTCCCCATCTCTGAGGCTTTATCTGCCTTTGGTCTTTGATGATGGTGACGTACTGATGGGGTTTTGCTGTGGGTGTCCTTTCTCTTTGTTAGTTTTCCTTCTAACAGTCAGGACCCTCAGCTGTAGGTCTGTTGGAGTTTGCTTGAGGTCCACTCCAGACCCTGTTTGCCTGGGTATCAGCAGCGGAGGCTGCACAAGATAGAATATTGCTGAACAGTGAGTGTTGCTGTCTGATTCTTGCTCTGGAAGCTTCATCTCAGGGGTGTACCCCACTGTGTGAGGTGTCGGTCTGCCCCTAGTGGGGGATGTCTCCCAGTTAGGCTACTCAGGGGCCAGGGACCCACTTGAGCAGGCAGTCTGTCGTTCTCAGATCTCAACTCCCATGCTGGGAGATCCACTGCTCTCTTCAAAGCTGTCAGACAGGGGCATTTACCTCTGCTGAGGTTTCTGCTGCTTTTTGTTTAGCTATGCCCTGTCCCCAGAGTAGGAGTCTACAGAGGCAGGCTGGCCTCCTTGAGCTGTGGTGGGCTCCACCCAATTCGAGCTTCCCGGCGGCTTTGTTTACCTACTTAAGCCTCAGCAATGGTGGGCACCCCTCCCCAAGCCTCGCTGCCACCTTGCAGTTAGATCTCAGGCTGCTGTGCTAGCAATGAGGGAGGCTCCGTGGGCGTGGGACCCTCTGGACCAGGTGTGGGATATAATCTCCTGGTGTGCTGTTTGCTAAGACCCTTGGTAAAACGTAGTATTAGGGTGGGAGTTCCCCGATTTTCCAGGTGTTTTGAGTCTCAATTTCCTTTGGCTAGGAAAAGGAATTCCCTTCCCCCTTGCGCTTCACAGGTGAGGCGATGCCTCGCCCTGCTTCAGCTCTCACTGGTCGGGCTGCACTCCTAGACCAGTGCCAACTGTCCAACACACCCCAGTGCGATGAACCTGGTACCTCAGTTGAAAATGCAGAAATCACCTGTCTTCTGTGTTGCTCATGCTGGGAGCTGGAGGCTGGAGCTGTTCCTATTCGGCCATCTTGGGCACGCCCCAAGTATTATTTTTATGTTACTGTATTGATCAGGCCTTTCTGAACAGTGTTTGATAATAGTGGTGGTGATGAACATCCTTGTGTTTTCCTGATTTTAATTTCAAAACTACAGTGTTGTTTTGGTATGTGTGATGTGAGTTGTTCATTTGAGATATGTCTTATTTTCTCAAATTAAGCTATTGCTTGTAAGATGCACCAACTTAATAACAGCTTTTGGAGGGTGGAGTGGGGAGAGGAAAAAGCTACTTAATATTAACCATACACATTGACTGAAAGATATTCTTATTGCAATGATGGCAAATGTGAAACAAATGTACCTTAGAATAACTAAAGGAAAAATTATATATAAAATTTTTTCCCTCCCATTGTTAGTGTCATAATTAAATACACACTCACTTGATGTAAGCAGTATCCTCACAGAAGATAAGTTCTTTTTTTTTTTTTTTTTTCCTGAGTTGAAGTCTCGCTGTGTCACCCAGGGTGGAGTGCAGTGGCATGATCTCAGCTTACTACAACCTCTGTCTCTTGGGTTGAAGCGATTCTCCTCCCTCAGTCTTCTGAATAGCTGGGATTACAGGCGCCTGCCACCACACCCTGCTAATTTCTGTATTTTTAGTAGAGATGGGGTTTCACCATTGTTGTCCAGGCTGGTCTCAAACTCCTGACCTCAGGTGGCCCACCCACCTCAGCCTCCCAAAGTGTTGGGATTACAGGCATGAGCCTCGGTGCCTGGCCAGATAAATTCTTTATACAGTATATACTTTATGATGTTCAGCAAGCAACATTCTATTCCCAGTTTTTAGAATTTTCATGAGAAATGGATGTTGAATTTAACAAGAGTCTAAGCAGAAGGCTATCATTAGAAAGCTTGATGCCCTGATATGAATAATTTCCTAATGCTAAACCATTTTTGCAATCCTGGGATAAACCTTACTTTATTGCTCTGTATTATTCTTTTAATAGTCTGTTGAATTCTATTTCTGGTATTTTATTTAGGATTATTACAGCTATTTTCCTAAGTGAGGAGGATCCATGGGATTTTTTTTTTTTTTTTTTTTTTTGCCTATTCCTGTCAGATTGTGGTGTAACAGTTATGATCATTTCATCACATAAACTCGATGACTGTGCATCTTTTTTCATTGTGGTAGAACAGTTTATATGACAAAAATTAGCAGTTCTTGAAAGCTAATTCAACATCTGGAACTAGAGTCTTTTGTGGAAGTAAATATTTGGTAACATCTTCAACTTTTTTCTTGATTATTGGTCTTAAAAAGCCTTATAGGGTCAATTTTGAGAATTTATATTTTCCCACAGAAATTCTTGTCATTGAGATCTTCAAATTCGTTAGCAAGTAACAGTGAAGTGTCTCATAATTTTTAAGTCTTCCCTTTATCTGTTTCATTTATTTATTTTTTATTTTATTTATTTTATTTTGAGACGGTGTCTCGCTGTGTTACCCAGGCTGCAGTGCAGTTGCGTGATCTAGGTTCTCTGCAACCTCCGCCTCCTGGGTTCAAGCAATTCTCCTGCCTCAGCCTCCCTAGTCGCTGGGATTATAGGCATGCGCCATGATGCCTGGCTAACTTTTGTATTTTTAGTAGAGACGGATTTCACCATGTTGGCCAGGCTTGTCTCCAACTCCTGGCCTCAAGTAATCCACCCATCTCAGTCTCCCAAAGTGATGGGATTACAGGCGTGAGCCACTGCGCCCAGCCTGTTTTATTATTTTTGAATTAATTTACTTAGCTCCTCTCTGCTTTTATTGAAGTCATCTAATGCTCTCAATCCAATAAGTGTTACGCCTCATCTCGTCTCGTCTCTTTTCTTTTCTTTTTTTGACGGAGTCTCGTTCTGTTGCCCAGGCTGGAGTGCAGTGGCGTGATCTCGGCTCACTGCAACCTCCACCTCCTGGGTTCATGCCATTCTCCTGCCTCAGCCTCCCGAGTAGCTGGGACTATGGGTACCTGCCACCATGCCCGGCTAATGTTTTTTGTGTTTTTAGTAGAGATGGGGTTTCTTTTTTTTCTTTTTTCTTTTTTTTTTACCAAGGTAAAACAAATTTATTTGGGAGGAACAATTCCCTTCAAAAGTAGATCCCTATCTTTAGGAGACAAAAGGAAACACTGTGATGAACCTACGGCCCCTAGTTTGGGGGGCCACAGGCCCACCCTCATGTTGCTGTGGGCTCTAGCCTCAGTAGTCAGATCCAGGTAAACCTCAGTTTCAAGAATAAAGGTGAGCCACAGACATGCAGCACCACCAGAGACAACAACACCCCGTGGCAAGAAGGCCATCCTCTGGACTGTCCCCGTACTGCCACGGTAAGGCAGGAGGCATGCTGTGACTCCTTGTGCTCCGTGCCCATTGCACAGGCCAGTTCAATTCCCTACCATCTGCCACCTATGCTCTTCTTTTGGGATTCCAACTCTGGCCAGACAAATGTGAATCTGGAAACAGAGGCCCAGGGCCCTCTTGCAGTACAGACATTTTGAGGTGGGTAGGCAGCATATGTTACATTCTAAGTAAAACAGCTAGAGGGTAAAACACTCCAACGCCAAGTTATTTTCAGAAAGGGCTCTGTGTTATCCTATAGTTTGCCTTTTTTTTTTTTTGTATAATTGTACAACCTTTGAAAGTTACATAAGTTGTAATGATCTAGTACTATTAATAGCCATTCAGAAAACACTTTCCCTCCCTCCCAACAACCATCCAGGGGGAAATAAAAGTCCTGAAAAGAGGCCAGTTCAATATGGCCTCTACTCCGGCAGAAACAGAAAGTGAAAAGAGAAGAAAACAGAGATCAACTAAGAGGTGTTGCCAGTGTCTCTCAGGAGTGGGGCCCTGGCTGTCGCCTGGGGTCATGAAAGGCAGAGCCTGCGGCATGCAGTATGGCAGCCGGGAGACCTTGCAGCCACATCTTCCTCACTCCGGCACATCCACATCCCAACTTAGGTGTCATGGAAATCTTTCAGCAGGGTTCTCCTCCGCTGCTCTGCTATATGCATCTGGTTCTCCAAGTCCCCTCTGTCATAGCTGTCTGCACGCTCCAGTTTCCGTGAGAGGTTTCCGATCTCAGCCTCCAGCTGAGCCTGCTGGTATTCAAACAGCTTCTTCCTGGGTCCGGACTCCATGTAATATTCATATGGGTAGGTGTATTGCACGGTGTATCGACACTTGGCCAAGAGCTTGGCAGCATTCTGTAGGTACTGCCAGTCGATCCATGTCCCCAGATTGTTCATGACCCTCTCCTGAATCTTCTCGTGAATCCACTGGTATGTCTGTGCCTCAAGCTGCAAGCTTTTGTTGTGGTTTTTCCCACCTCTCCAAGTAGAATAAGTACTTCTTGAGGGCTTCCCTCGCCTAGGCTCGTTGGCTCTGGTTCACAATGTCAGAATTCTCCTTGTAACGACTGCACTCATAGTATTCACTGCCATGAGTCTTCCAATCTCCTAGACACATCCAGCAGAAGTCATGTTTACATTTGGAGCAGTGCATGTGATTGCAGCCTCCATTCTTCTCAATGCAGATGTTGCACTTGGGACAGTCTTTAGTGTGGGCACTAATGTAGTTGGCTGTTTCAGAGTTGTCTGCACACTTTGTGAGCCATTTCCGGATTGTGGCGTGTCTGTGGGTGCATGATACATCTGATGACACTTGAAACAGAAGACCTCGTTGCACCGATTGCACTGTACTCGGCAAGCTCTAGGCTCCTGTACCCAAATAACCATGGGGCAGTCTGCACCAGGGCACAGCTGGAGCTGGTAATGACTCTCCACATAGTCCCTGAAGAGGTAGCGCCTGTATTTCTTTCTCAATTCTTCGTTGGGAAGCAATGGAAACAAAGTCCGCTGGTGTATGGAGTGGACAGTCCTAAGCCATATGAGAGACTCCCACGCCCACGCTGTCCTTGATGAGAACTGAGCAGTGCTGCTCCCAGCAGCTGCAGCAAAACTGGTGCTGACAGGCCAGAGAGAGTAGGTTTTCCTTTCGCACAAACTGCATACACACTGCACAGTGGTGAGGGGGATGGGATGTGGAAACATGTTTTGATGGATTAGACTGAACTCGAGCCTCAACAAGCAGTTGAGCAGAATTGGACTTGAATCTGTCCAATATCTCTGAAACTTGCCAGTAGAAATTAACTAATATAAGTTTAGCAACTGAATGAGATACCTTTAGGACAGAAGCTAAGATGGTCATGTGCTCATTGAGGGCACTCTCAGATTCCTTGTAGGTCAAGCAGGTGAACTGGTACTCCTTGGGATCAAAGGCATCAGCCCCCTGCTGCTCCACATCACTGGCTACTCCCACGTAATAGTCCTCTATGTCCCCAGGGTCTTCATCCTCTTCTTCTTCCTCTTCCTAACAATTTGGGTCACAGTCCTCTTCATTGCTGTCAGACCCTTGGCTATTCATGTCCACCGACATCTTAGCATCCAGCCAAGTTACAGATCAGGAAAGCAGTTGCTTTTTCCCCCTCCCCACAAAACTACCGCTTTTTCAAATGCATTAGTATTTTTGTCTTCTGTAATTCTTGGAGATCTCTCAGGCAGATGTCACCCAAGTATTCTACGTAATAGGATTTCCACCGGGAGCTGCGCCCTCGAGGCTACTGAGCCCAGACAAGCCAGACCGGGTCAGGCCGGGCCAGAGGGACCACACTGGGGAGAAGCGGCGGTGGAGGCGGCGGGCCGACACCGGTCAAACCCGCGCTGCTTCCTCCAGAAGCGAGACAGGGTTTCACCGTCTTAGCCAGGATGGTCTCAATCTCCTGACCTCGTGATCCGCTCACCTCTGCCTCCCAAAGTGCTGGGATTACACGCGTGAGCCACCGCCCCTGGCCTTTTTTTTTTTTTTTTTTTTTGACAGGTAGCGAGAATTGGGCTCCCAGTTTGACCTGTGACTGTTTTGCTGCTGTGTTTTGGTGTTTCTGGATTGTTCCATGAGTAAATGCTAAGGGGAAAGGGACTTTGTTCTTTCAGTCTCTGAAGTTTCTTGAGCATCTAGAACACTTCCTGGCCATAGTAGGGGTGCAATACTTATTCGTTGGGCAAATGAAAAAATGACTGTGGGAAACAGGTGAGAAGTTGCCAGAAGCCTCCTTTTCAGGGAAGACCTCATAAGGACAGAAAGAAGTAAGCAACAGGTCTTCTATTGTCTACAAAGGTGAACTTTTGCTATTGCCACTCCCCACCTCACCCACCCACGACCACCGACCACATAGTTCAAACGGAATTCTTTCTTGGAGCTGGTGGTGGGTGACTGGTGTAAGGGACCATCCCCACTGAGCTCCCTGTTCCCAGGCCTGAGCCTTCAGGGCAGTCAGGCCTTCTGATCACAGAGATGCGCAGGCAGGAGCATGATGGTGGGGAGACAGGCGGGCTCCTGGAGGAGGAGAAGGTGACCGCTAGGGCAGGAGATGAGTCACTGGGATGGGGGGCTGGGTGGAGGAGGTCTTGGGACAGGGGTTGAGGTAAGAAGACAGTTACTTTAGGTAAGGTTGAACTTCTGGTCCTGGAAAGCTCTGAGCTTGAGCCTAGGATAGGTGAGCTGTGGCTGCTGACCATGAGGGTGACTGCATCAGACTCTGCCTTAGGGATGAGGGGGGGCCCTGTGGGCTGGCCAGGAGAGGCCCTGAAGGTGGACACCTGCCTTCGCCTCATCATTGGGAGTTGCCAGATAAAATGCAGGATATCCAGTTAAATTAGAATTTCACATAAATGATGAGCAATATTTCTTTAGTATGAGTTTGTCCCATGGATTTGGGACCTCTTGATTTACCCATCTCTGAGGCAGGGGACTCCCAGGACCTGGGAGAGGCTTCTCACTGGGAAGGCAGGAAGGCGCCTCCCTCTACCCCATATCCCCCTAAGATATTCTCAGCAAAAGGGAATCTTTAGCTGCAAAAGAGCAATACCCCTCCTCCCTCATCCATTCTTGCTTCTCAAATGGAGGTGTGAACTAAGCATACTCTCTACACGCTCCTCTGCTTGGGGGTGGCCTTCTGGCCAGCTTTATGGGCTCTGCTGGACACAGAGAAGAGCCTGAGGAGTGCTCACTTTCCAGCAAGCCACAGTCAGTCAGAGCAAGTGAGGCATAGGCCCTGTAAATAGGAGTCTAGGCAGGCTGGTGGGCTTCTGTAACCTAGGGGTGAGGGGCACAATCAGAATGGTGGGCTGGAAGGTAAGGTGGGGAGGAGGGGCAGGCAGAGGCCAAGGGGAGCAGCCCGATGGTGTACAGTGGGAGGGGCGAAGCAGGAAGGTCCTGAGCACCGCCTCCCAGGTACTTCCTTGGTGCTATCTAATCCGAGGTGCTCTGGAAAAGCTGAAGGTCAAATTCTAACTTCCTGGGCTAGAAAGTAAGCTTTGGGAAGTAAGTGTTGCGAAGGAGACAACCTCTAGGTATTGTCACGAAGTTTGTGTTACCCTCAGATTAGCCTCATTTATTTCTGGCAGAAGGTTAAAAACTATACAAATAATTTTTATGGACATAATTATGTTCTCATCCCAAAATAATGTGGCACAGTTCCATAATTACTCAGAAATGATCATTGTGTGAACAGCTATTAATTAGTGAATAGCTTTGGAAAAAAGTTTCAGTAGGTTTGGGAAGCATTGTTAATAACCCATTATGATATGTCTGGGGGTCAAATCACCATGTCATGTCAAAGCATAGATTTATAGTTCCATTTTAAATCATTTCAAAATAATTAAGAATGTGCTGTGCATCTGAGTGGGCAGAGTTGAGGCACAAAAACCATATATCTGCATTAGGAAGGGAACGGATCATTTCCGGCCAAAATGGAGATCAAAGCTCTTTCAACATCCATTTGGCAGAAGCATGCACATTTTATGGCTTCTCAAGAAGTATCAGTGATTTTAGATAAATAGCATTCAGCTCTTCTTTCCCTTTCCCCATGGCTTTCTTGCAAGCCAAGAGAGGAAAATTACAAATCATCAGGAACTTCTGACCTTGACTTAGAATTTCAGGTGGGAGTTCAGCCATATGCGCTCTTCCTGACGGAGTAGGGGTATTTCTACATTACTCTTTGCCACCTTCTGGAGTGGGTCTTGGGGAGGCAGCTCTGCTCTTTCCTTTGAGACACATTCTCTTTTTGGGGTATGTGTGCTAGCATACCTTTAGCCCAGGAACCTTCCTGCCTCCCTGGAACGCTAGGGCACCTCTAGTCTTTTGGAGCCGCCTTTCCTCCTGGTCGTCCTTGGAGACCTTGTTGGGGAAGGGAAGGAGGCTGTTCCTTACTGAGTGTTGATGTGCTCCGGTCCCTCTGCTGCACATTTCATGCACTTGATTGCAGCTTCCAACTGGGCAGGTACTGTCATCCCCGTGTGGCCAGGGAGGAGATGGAAGCTCAGAGAGATGAGAGGATTTCTGCAAGCTTGGGAAGGAAGCCTACAGCTGGAGGGAATCTTTAGGTTCAATATGCCATATACCCTTAGATGTTCGACCCCTCTCCACCACTCCCTTTTTTTCTTTTTTTGAGACAGGGTCTCATTGTGTCACCCAGGCTAGAATGCAGCGGTGAACAATGCTCACTGCAGCTTTGACCTCCTGGTCTCAAGTGATCCTCCCACCTTACCCTCCTAAGTAGCTGGCACCACAAACCTGTGCCATCACTCCCAGTTTATTAAAAAATTTTTTTGTACAGACAGAGTTTTGCCATATTGCTCAGGCTGATCTCCAACTTCAGGCTCAAGTGATCCTCTTGTCTTGGCCTCCCAACATGCTAGGATTAAAGGTGTGAGCCACGACGCCTGGCCTGGCTCCCTTTGGTGACTTACCCATGATGAGGTCATCTAGCCCAGGCTTAAACACCTCTTGTGGAGTGGTGCTCACTGGCAGTGACCTGTTCCATTCAGCATGATTAGTATACACCCATTGTTGAAACCAAAAATGCATATAAAGTAAAAGATGATGGCCTCTCCTATGCCCCTGCTAATCCTGTTCCTCAGAGGAAATCACTGTCAGCAGTTGGGTGTGTATCATTCCAAATACCTTCCTATGCTAGATGTATGTACATTGAAAACATGTCAGTAGAATCATACATACTGATGTGCTTTTTCACTCAATAAATTGTGGATGTTCACTCAGGTATATGTATGCACCTACATCATTCTATCTATTGCCTATTGACCTAGCTCTCATTGACATTTCTTTCATCTCTGTTTTATCTCTTTCTGTTTATTTGGATAGTCAGTTCTGTCTTCCAAATATAATCTTCAAAGTAGATCTTACCGCTTCTCTCACCTTGTCCATCTCTGATGTGGACTATTATCATAGCCTCCTACCTGGAATCCCTGTTTTTGCCCTGGTCCTGCCCTATAGCCTGTTCTGAACCCAGCAGGTGTAGTGGGCCTTTCAAAATGCAAGTTGCATCATGACACTTCTCTGCTCAAACCCTCTTACGGCTTCCCTCCCATCAGAGCTAAAGTCCAGCCGTCCCACAGCTTGGAGGCCCTCCATGCCCCTGTCCTCCTGCTGTCCTGCTCTGTGTCTTTGACTTCATCTTCCCATTGTTTTCTCTGCCCCTGCCGTGCTGGCCTCCTTGTTGTCCTTTGGACTTGCCAGGCCTGCTGCTATCTCTGGGCCTTAGGACTTACCATTCCTACTGCCTGTAAAGTTCTTTCCAGAAAGCCAGGTGGCTCGCACTCTTACTTCCTTTCAGATTTTTGCTCAAATGTCAGTGAAGGCCTTCCCTCCCTCCCTCTCTGTAGACTGATATGATTTCTTAAGGCGAGTTTAGAAAATCATCTACACATGTACCCCAAGTCAAAGCTGGCATTATACTTGCTGGTAAAACAATAAAAGCATTCAAATTAAATGAGGTACTTACGTACCTGCACTGATGGTCCGGGAAGAAAGAGAAAAGACAAAGAACTGGAGGGTCTAGAGTGGTCAGTGATTGTCCAGTGTGGCAGTAGTCTAACAAGCTCGAAAGGGAGGGCATGGTTTGAATTAATGATACTGATAGGGGAGTATTATTGTTGGATGACAAGGTCCAAGATGGGATGCTGAGCGGCCAAGATGGAGTGAGCAAGGACACTGGAGTGAGGTGGTGATATGGCTTGGCTCTGTGTCCTCACCAAATTTCATCTTGAATTGTACTCCCATAATTCCCACATGTCATGGGAGGGACCCGTTGAGAGATAATTGAATCACGGGGGTGGTTTCCCCCATACTGTTCTCGTGGTAGTAAGTCTCACGAGATCTGATGGTTTTATCAGAGATTTCTGCTTTTGTGTCTTCCTCATTCTCTTTTTGCCTGCTGCCATCAATGTAAGATGTGACTTGCTCCTTCTTGCCTTCTGCCATGGTTGTGAGGCTTCCCCAGCCATGTGGAACTGTAAGTCCAATTAAACCTTTTTGTTTTGTAAATTGTCCAGTCTCGGGTATGTCTTCATTAGCAGCATGAAAATAGACTAATACAGGTGGTGAAGGACGTGAAGGTCAGGGTGCAGGTTGGGCCATCCATGTGGATGTTGGTTGCCTAGGAGGAAGGAAGGACTGAGGCTGGAGGGGAAGGTGGGCACCAGGTGCCCAAGTCTCAG